GGGGGGAGACGGCCCCACTCTTCCCCACCAGAGGGCGCTATCATACAGACATGGAGCCGCTGTGAGCTTTCCGTCAGCAGACAAAGAGAGTTCAGTCAGCAGCATGAGCTGACTTGGACGCTCACGATTACAACGGGCTGATCAAAGAGGAGCAATGTGAGAGTTATAATCTATACATGTGGGCCAGCAGCTCTAATGATGGCTCCTGATCACCTGATCTGCTGCCAAACAACCAACACCACCTCTCATGTTGTTGGGTTTCCGGTGACAGAAGTGCTCTCAGTGGTGGCTGACTGTTCTGGATCAAACTGCGGATTCTGTTCCAACTCTCAAAAGCTGTACGGCTTTTGTTACAAAACATTCTACGTCCATTTTGAAAACAGGAAATGATGGTCTGGAGCCTCAAATTCTGGATGATAAAGAAGCTATTGTTTAAGACTAGAAATATTCCTCACAGTTGCTAAACATTTAGCTACAGCTGCTGAATCAAACACTATTGAGCATCATCTGTATTTTTGCACTACTTAAAAAGGACCAGTGTGGAGCATTTTGGGGTTCTCTTAGCACAAATGTAATACAATATCCTTACCTATGTTGTCATTATTAATCACCTGAAACTAAGAATCGTTAGCTTACAATGAGCCCTTCATATCTACACAGGGAGAGTCCACAGTGATGCACCGCCATCTTTATACAGTAGCCCAGAATGGACAAACCATCACTGGCTCGAGACAGACTCTCACATCTTTATGTTAGGTGAAGGCCACCGCAGTCGTCCGACACACTTGTGAACCTGCATTAATGAGAGCAGCCACCGCTTGACGTCTGTTGCTCCTTACTGAAGTGTTATTATGGTATGGATGACCTCTGAACGAGACAAACAGCGCTGCACTCAGCGGCTCATTCTATGGATTCTAAAGAACTTTTTTGGTTTTAGGCATATCCATGTTCATTTTTATACATTTGCACATTTTCATACTTTCCATGTGTCGATGTGTAAGAATGAACTGATCTGAGGACAATTTTACCTCCAAATACCATGAAGCCGCAATCAGACAAATCTTGAGTCTCCGAACGTGCAATGTGAAGGAGGACCAGACAACACGCCGTGGAATCTCTGTCTTTCTACCGTGTCGGTAATGACCGGTTAGGTAGGCAGCAGGGTGTCTGCTACGCCTCCTTCAAGAGACTGCTGCTGCTGAAGCCCGAGTTGGACTGGAGCCTGTCAAATTACAGTGAGATCCCACCATACCTCCCACTCCCTCTTCCCTCCATCTGTCTGCCGTCTATCTCTTCACCGCCATTCCTCCTTTGCTATGTTTTGTCTGTCGGTTAGTGTTAAAGCAGCACGACTCATTTCACGACTCAGAGACACACAAAATGGAGATGTTCTTATGTCAACATGTCCGGCCCTGCCCGAGCTCCCACAAATCCCGGAGACACTGGACAGAAATGTGTGTGTGATGCTTCGAGAGAATTTCTGGAATTCCCTCAAGGCATATTTTCAAAATGGCGGGCGGCTTAATCCGTCCCACAGTGCGAACACACAAGGGAGTCTGGATGTGCTGCACTCTGAGAAGTATTTCAGAGAATATCTCGGACTAAAAGACGACCAATCGTCAGCTCCCGCTTTAGAGGTGCAGACTTCATTTGCATATTTCGAGAAAACGTTGGGAGTATTTGGACTTTTAATATGACACACTGATAAAAAGCGATGGTTCTCAGAGGCCATTTTCTACAGCGGGTAACAATAGAGGTCCCTACAGTATCGCCTCTTTAGCCCTTCCCCTCCCATATCCCTCATCCCTGCTTTGTCCATATCTAGCTCATCCCCTATTTCTCTCTCACCCAACACCCCCCCATATATTCCCACCCCCTCTATCTCTTAACCCCCCCCCTGCTCTCTTCTCTCTCTCCTTTTCTGTCAAGCCCTCCTCTTCTTGCTCCAGAACTGTCAGATGGCATTAGCTCCTTTCACGCTCATGGCCTGTAGGAATAACAGCCGTGAACCTCGCCGAACAGCGCCATTCTCCTGCTCCAGTTAGCTCTCCACTCAGCACAGGCTGTTGCGCAAATACCAATGTTATTCACGTTGTGCCCATCCACTTACACAACATGCCCAACTAAAGGGCAAAGTAAGGCAGGCGGAGAAGGTCATGGCACCGAGTAAAGATGCGCGTGTATTGTATAACATGGTCACGCTCGCTCATAATCATCAGCTCGTCCCCTCGACTCAAGGATCGACCCACAGCTTTGCTAAGATCTGGCTCACGTGGATCAAAAACGGATCCACTTCTTATCTTCTTATGGAGCCACAGGCCTGAAAATGTGTTAAATATATCGTGCTCGGCTTATTTCCCATGAAGTTTCCGCTGCAGGGCAAGTTGTGGTTGGTATTAAAAGCCCACTGTGACCAATAAGCTGTAAAATGTGCAGAACTTTTTATTGTGCGGAGAAACAGGGTAAAATGATTCTCACATGGCATACATACATGTAACAGATGCTTCATACAGGCGGCTGGTTTTCATGCCAAAGCCTGACCAGTAGTAACTGTATTCCACTCTGAAAAGATGTCACCATACGTTTCAGATTTCATGGGTAGAGCACCACAAAGTAGAACAGCCAGAAGGAGCTAGGCCACGCTAGCACCCTGAAACTAATGTGAACCAGTCGGAGAGGAGACTTCTCCCCGTGGCTGTTGTCACTGTGTCCACACTGATTATCTCTACATCGCATCCAATAGTTCTGTGGGTTGAAAATGTGTAGCATGGATAATTGCTTTGATTTAGTTTGAAGGTCAGCTTGTAGGGGTGTGAATCTTTTGGTATTTCCTGATTCAAATTTGATTCAGATTCTTGGGGTCACGATTCCATTCAATATCGATTCCCGATCCAAAATCAACGCCCGATGATAAGCAGAGTACAGCGTCAGCGAAGAGTAAGTTATACAAAAATAAAAATGCTGTCTGTTACATGAATAAACCTTGTAGGCTAGCTGCCTTTTTATTTATCAGACAAAAAATTTCAAAGATAAATTGTAAAAAAAAAAAAAAATAAAAAAAAGGTAAAAATGGTATTTTGAGAGATTTTTCTAAACATCACACACTAATGCTTAACACAACTTTGACTTGGTCTGTAGGATTACTGTCCATCAGAAGCAATATCTAGGTTCAATAAAAAAAAAAAAAAAAAAAAAGAATTGAAATTTTTTGGAAGTATAGAATCGATTCAGAATCTTAGACGATAAGATGCATGAATGGATTATAACATGCTACCTTCTGATGTGTGACTGTGGACCCTTATGAAGGTCCTGTAAGAGGTGTAAGCTGTGGTTTGAGAGGAAATAACTCCAATAATCGATCATTACGTTGTAATATCACAGACCAGTGTGAAGGAATGTTTGTGTGAGGTTAGAAAAACACTGCAGACATGTTGTGAGGGGGTGACTTGTACGAAGGACGCAGTTATCAGCTTGACAAGTAAGCAGAGAGATTAATACAAATATGAAAAGTATAATTTCTCATCACTCTGTACTCGACAAGCCCAGCATGGAAGGAAGGCTTAGAGGCTAATAATCAAAGCAGATTAGCCCCAGCTCTGAGAGATGCTACGCAAGCCTGCTAATCATCAGACTGATAACCATGAATCATCCAATCGCAGGCAGGAATGAGCAGCGTGTTTCAAATTACAGTTTTGATGGAATGATCTCTGTATCAGCGACCCATCAAAGTGCTTCTCTTTGGCTTCCATTTGCCTCCTCCAGCCCGTGTCACAATAACTCCTCCGTGCTAATAGCGTGTGTAAATCGGTGCATATTAAGTGCGGTGAGGAAGGGTGGGTGGAAACACTCGAGCTTCAGAGCCCCGGTGTGACTGATCTCCGGCCTGCCTGCCCTGTGATTTAGCATGGAAATGACAGACTTGCCCCTCATTGGGCTTTGGGTGGAGAGCTAATGACATGCTGCGCGGGCTAGCATGACTATTAGCCCACTCTGAGCAGCAGGAGCTGACAGGAACACAATTCTGTCATTACGCCCCGAGGAGACC